CGAAGACGGTACAGTAATCCTATCCCGAAAATCATCTTAGAGATGATGCCTTCAACAAATCAACCATGCCAATATATTCTTGCTCACCGAATATATATCTAAACCTCTGCCCGACGAAAGTCACGCATTCTTTTGATGGGAAGGACGAGCAGCCTATTTGGACTGATGATGTAATTACAGTTTACTCCCGCTCTCTAGAAACTTACTGCTAACGTTGAAACTTACAAGAGACTATAAAATGAAACTTGTAGAAGTAAAGTAGTCTACGGCTCTCAGTACATATGGAAGATCTGAATTCTGTAGAGTATTCTGAAGGAGAGTTCCAGTAGCCAAAGGCTAATGAGACCCAAACTAATTAACTCAGATTCAATACTTACGAATTCAAGAGCGAGGTAGGACAAATTTTACATGCCATTGAAGTAAACGATCTGACTATGCAACAATTCGATGTCCAAAAAGTCTTAAAACGACCACCAATTTATTTTTTCAAAAGATTATTCACAATCAAGCAGAGCTTTCATATGCTCTAAATGGAGATCTGGGCGGCCGAAGAATGGAGGTCCCGTGTTGCGCTCTATGCATAGCTCTTGTTTGCAACGATGCTGCAGATGTAGCTCTCTCCTCAGTGGGCTCCTTCACCAGGTATGTCGAGGATGAGACTGACGGAACGGAGCTACAAGCAAAAATTTCAGGAAATCAAAGGAAAAAAATTCTATAATCCAAATTTCCAACCCTTGGTCTGATTTTCGGAACATTATTCCCGTTTCAGGATGAAGAGCGATACGTCTAAGATAGCAACCGAAGAATATAGAGGCAATGAATAGGAGTATCGCTACTGATGATAGGATTCCAGTCATCCATTTCAAGCCGATTTCTACAGAGCGATCTGGAAAGGGCAAATTTGGAAAATTATACTTCAATCAAATCCTGTATCATGGCAGATTGGCCCGAGAGTTTTCCATAGCATAATTTAAAAATTTTTCAGATATGAACAGATTTGCAGTGATTTTTTGGAGTAGAAAGGCGAAAAAATCATAGAAAGCAGATTTGTCTAGCTTTATCACTAATTTTATAATATTGACGATGCACCTTGCGATAGAATGGCCTACATCAAGACCAAATTCCACATATGTTGGCACATGCGGGTAACATATGCGGTTTTAT